CTTCAAAGTTCTCCAAATTTCAGTAGCCTTGGCCAATGTGACCTACCATGCATGGTCCAATTCTCACAGACGCTGATGCTGGCCATTTCAATTAACTACACCTAGCGTATCAGGATATCCACTTGCAACTTGAGCACTTGAAAGTTAAGTCACACAAAATAAATAAGCATATTCAGATCTGCCAAACATACCACAATGAAAAAGCAAACACACAGCAGGGATGCAAACAGCATCTAGAATTCCCAGTGCTTAAATTTAAAATTATCTGCTTTAAAGTCTATTGTGTGTCTTGCATGAGACATGTACAAGGTATTTACAAGGGCAGCAAAGAACTAACAAAAATGTAAGGCTGAAACCAGCCTCAAGTTGAGAAGAAAGTGGAGCAAATGAAGTTCCTTTCCTTATTCCTCACCATGTTGTACAAATTAGCTGTTTGTACTAGATTTACTAGTTGGTGCATTAACATTAACGTCTTCAATATTGTGTTGCAATTCTGTATTACGCTTCTTTGCACTGTTATGTTTCATAAGCCCTTCTCTGCTTCCAAGTTCTGGTTCACCACCTACAAATACTATACACATTCTGTTGCCCAGCAGTATTACAGCAGAGTTTCTGCCTTTGAAATCACACATTGCATTGCTCTCCCAAGGGTCATCTGGGCCATAGACTCTGCAGTCTCAGCCTACCGAGGGACTTCATTTGGTGGTGGAGCCAATTCTAACAGCAGAAGCACGCAAGGAAGATCTTGGCCTTCTCTTCTTTTCCAGCGAGGTTTCCGAAGATCTGTTTCACTGATGAAGGCAGGGATTCTTCCTCCAAGAACACTGATTTCAAATGGTGCTAGACAATGAATAGTTAAATCTAAACCACCATATGAAACCAGCTTCCTGAGGGAGCTTGTTTCGAGCTGTGATGATATTCCTGTAACAATAAATTGGAAATGCCACAGAAGAATACCTGTCCATGTTGGGTTTTTATCTTTATTTTTCCTATTAAATAGTTGATGCCTTTTCCTTAGTCTTACCCTTGATTTTGGTTTCTGTCACCAAATGTTCATTTCTGTTTTCTATTATAGTGCTACCAACTGAAAGGGAATTGCTTACAGCAGTGTCACTCTGAAGAATTTTGTTAGTCAGGCTTGGACAAGATGTACAAGGGTTTAACCAGGAAATTTTTGTTACTGTCGTCTATTACCAGATTGTGTCTGCTGAGGTCTGCCCACAGCCTGACTACCACCAAACAGATCATCAGTAAGGGAATCACTGCTGCAAACTCCCTCTAGAGACAGCAAAGCAACATGTGAAAGGTCTCCTGCAAGATGTTAACATATCTTATTTTTTAACAGCAGCAGCAGCAGCACCAGCATGTGACAGAAGCTACATATTAACACCTAAGTATTGAATATTCATTCAAAAGGTCACGCAGATAGTCTGAAAACCAGCTCACCTGTCTGCTACCTCTTGCTGAGGTGGTATTTGCAACATTAGAGAAAGAGTGTGTGCTCAAACCTAATGTTAAGGATTACATTAATTATGGACTATTCAGATCTAGCACTTGCCATGTGGTGCCAGCACTACTTCTAAGAAGTCTGACACAGCGTTTTTTCCTGGAAGTCTGCTACTGAAGTGTGTTCTAGACAATTTACTCCCTTCAAATGGCTGTATTTTTTTATAACCTGTCGGCAACTTCTCATCTCAGCTGGCAGAACAAACATATCCGAATTACATCTGCAGAACAACGTCACGCAAATTTGAGCATTTGCACAGACTACAAGGCTCAGCCATGCTCATGGTGACATGTTCTGGGAAGTACTCAAAAGGTACATCACAGCCTCTCAGCAAGGAACAAATTACCCAAAGCAGCAGCACTGGCACAACAGGCACAGTCTCTTTCCATGGCAGGGCAGAGGGGAGGCACAATGAGACAGTGTGCCCCATGTGGGTGTAAAATAACATTGTTTTAAGGGAAACAACCCAACGGAGTAGGCTGGGCCTCTGAAAGCGGGCAGTTGCTTCAGTTACTGGAAGAGCTATAACTATGCCAGGCCACATCAGCGTTGGATTTATTATGCAGCTTTTCTGTCCAGAAAGTGTCTGTGTGGAGCAGAGCAGTCAGGAAGCAGTTTGGCCAGGAGCAGCAGGACTGAGCAGCGCTCATGCCCATCTCCCCAGGCTCTGCCCCAAGCACACAGCTGTCTGCAAATCTTCCATGTGGGCACAAGAAATGCTAATGCTTTAGCATGGGTAAAATAAAGCAGCTTTAAAGCATGGGCAGGACTGAACTGCTTAAAGCCACACAAAAGCCTCAAACTTTGCCTTGCTGTAGTGTATTCAAGAAGAGTGAAGCATCTTACTTTTTCCCTCCTGCAGTTTAACACAGCTGGTGTGCACTGTACGTGCCTCTGGAAGTCCTGTGAAAGCTGATTTTAGTTGATTACAACCATCACCCAAGATGAACCCATCTGTGGTCTCCTGAAGACAGCCAAATATTCTCAAACTCCTCCTCTTCAGAGGACAGGAACCCATGTAAAAAAACTAATTACTTCTGTTTCTAAGGTTTCATCACCTCCAGAGGTGCATCTCTCCCTTCATTTACCACAATGACAAAAAAACCAACTAGCTTAGACTAGAAACCTAACTTCTAGATGGCTGAAGATAGGGGAGAGAAATTTCAAATTAGCGTGGACAGTTCCCACAAGGGTATCTGTCAACAGTGTAGCTAACACACTCCTCTCCAAGAAAATCTTCATGAGAAAGTCCATGCAATCCATCTGTGAAACAATGATAGCAACGACACTTCACAACCATTATCTTCCCTGGACAAGGCGAGGTTAAATCGTGCTATAGCATCTTTTTCTGTACAGTTGCATTCCTGATGTACGTGGGATCTGAAGCTGAGGTCCAGTTGCATGGCTCTGTATCACTAGCCTTAGAATGGATGTAGACCACCGCATCTCCATCTATCCAGAGAGCAAATTCTTCCATTTAATATCAATTGTACTTTCGAAGGAAGCATCTTTCAAAACTTGTAATAACTCTGCATGTTTCTAGAAGACGGATAATGAGAAACACTCTCGCATTAGGGCTGTAAACTGTCATTTCTAAATTGGAAAAACAAATGAACTGCAGATAGAGAGCTATTGTACTTCTCCAAGATGCCTCCTGCCCATTAGGTCCTGTAAGTTTTAAAACATTTTCAGATCTTGAACTGTTCTGTCCTCCCTAGATTTAACAATGAGAAAAGCTGAGAGCAATTCTCTCATTTAACTGGAAAGGAGTAAGAATAACAGAGAAGATAATGTCTTTACATCTACTTAGCAGAAAAGCAAGAGCTTGGGAAATAAGAAGAGCAAACCCAGAATTCACAGACTTAGATAAAAATTTTAGATGGAAGAGTTTCTGTTTACATTTTTGTTTCTGTGGTGACAAACTAACACTGTTCTGTAATATTCCAGAGAAAATTATGGGAATGACATGTCAGTGACTTAAGCCCTGATCTTAAATACTTCATAATTCATGTGTTTTTATTTGACATCGATGGGATTACTTACATGAGTAAAGTTTTGTCTGCAATTAAATCACTGCAGGATTAGTGTTTATGATGGCTTTGTTTTGCTGTTGAATAATTCTAGTGGTTTAGCCTTACAGGTGGTTTAGCTGCATTGAAACACCCACCAGGTAACCCTCTCTATTCCACTGATGAACTCCTGCGGTGAAGCATTTGGAATAGCATGTGAACTGCAATCCCATCTTTGACTGTGAATGACAACTGTGGGCACTTTATCACATGAATCCAGGGATAATCAGAGAGAACATCTACTGGGAGTGACCTGGAAAGACGTCCAACTGGACTAATGATCCTGTACAGGAAATTCGTAAAAACTAAGTCTTATTGCTTCCTTTCCATGCTCTGCTGTAACAGGAGCTCTGTAAATGGATTTTGTTAGAGCTCCACTTATGACAGATTTACGATCCATCTATGACAGGCTGAAAGACCGAGTCAGCCTGTAATTTGCAGACAATAGCCTGCGAGTACGTTATGTCTGACAAACTGCTCAACTTATTGTAACTTTTTAAATTCCTTTTTTTTAATAAAATGTGGAGCCAAGGGAAGATGACAGATTGACAACTCTGCAGAAAGCCTCTGTCACAGAACAGCTATAGCATAGGAAGCGATTGTGCGAACTTCCTACTTAACGCTTGGCCATGTATCTCATTTATGAGCTGCTGCAGACACCCTATGGCATGATGAAGATCAAGGAACCATTGAGAAATTGTCTGTCAGCTGAAAAACCAATTAATACTAACTGCACTGAGGAAGAACTGCCTACCAAGATAGAAATTGAGACTGTGAAGTCAGTTACATATGTCTTTAAGGGATTTCTTTTTTGGTCATTTCCAACTTGAACTTAAAACCACAGCTCTTGGGGGAAAAGCTGCTTCATCTTTTATTTTTCTGCACCATCAATCCCCCAGCGTTTTCACCACCAGCTTAATGAATTCCAACTATCAAGAGAGCTCATCTGCTATGTAATTTGTCTTTTTTTTTGTTCCCTTCACTAAACATGCAGGAAAAATGTTTTTAATTTGCAAGGCTGAATAAATACCTACTGTGTTTGCCAAGACTTTATTGACATTCATGGCTGTCCACAAAGCTGACTGACTTCTCACAGAGATGGTTTATCTCCTTAAGAAAAAAACCCACCCAAGCAAGAAGATGTTAATCTTTCTTAATGAAATAAAATAAAATGAAAAACAGCAGTTCAATAAAGAATACTGTGGCTAGTGAAACCCCTTCATCCAGGATATGGTCCCAGAGCAGATTTTTGTTGACAGCAAGATCACTTAACATTGGGACACCCTCCAGCACTCCCTGCTGCCTCTGATGCTGCAGTTCATGTCACCTTCAGTTGTACCCATACAACTGCCCACAGGCCATGCTGTAGACAAGTCACTCAAATGATTCTAATTCAAAGAAAAAAAAGTGTTTCTTTTCTTGACAGATATTTTCAGTCATCTGCTTTCCCACACGGTCAGGAAAGAGATGGCACTGCATTGCTGCTGAGCTGGAAATGAATGGCTGGGAGTAGGCAGAAACTTATTAAACTGGCACTAGCAAAAGACATGAACTGTGGAATTACACCTTGGATAGCATCAAATCACATCTCCCTTGCTCAGCTGGTCATGAGGAGTTGAGATGAGTTTCAGCCTGCAATGAAACACAGTTCTTGAACTTTCATAAGAAAATCAATACACCAAACTTTGAGATTCTTACTCAAGTTTTACTAGGTTTTTATAAAAGGTCCAACTTTTCCCGTAGGCCTGCTGCCTGAATTTTTCCATTTCAATTTTTCTTGCTGAACAATTTCGTTATCTTAAAATCAGCAATGTGCACAAAACAATCAAAGCCTCCACAGCTGGAATTTAATATGATCAGACAGTCTGCGGTGGCTTGACATAAACAGGTAAGAAGAAAAAGCACTTGGGTCATTTGGGAGGAAATTAATGACATGACAAACCATTACTGTCAAAATTTCCTACACTGATGACAGTACTTCACATATCTCACTTTCCTTCCTGTGCTTTGTTTAGCTGTACTGAAAAGAGCTACCAAGCGATCTGGGGAACATTCCTCTGGAACAAGCAAACAGCCCTTAAATAAAGACCAATATTTCCTACTAGTGAAACATCCAATTTATCTGTTAAGTATGCACAATACATTTATCTTTTTAATTTCAGAAGCTTCTCAAAGCTTCTAACAAACAGGAAAGGTCTGATGGCTACAAGGTATTTACAATACCAGCTGATACCAAGGAGGGACACAGATGTGCTATACCTCAGAAAAAGCAGCCTCCACCATGTACAATTTTCTCCAATATATTTCTGGAACAATTCATTATTGACAGGGTTTGTCCTCAGAATCTGGAAGAAAAAAATACCAGAAGCTGTTTGAATTAGTCCCCTCTTCGTGTTGTTCTTCAAAAAGATAAATCAAAATGCTGCTTCAAAATCATTCTTCTCTTCCTCCAGCCTCTTATACAGGCTTTCAGCCAAGTTACGGCTCCTCACCATCTGAACTTATGTGAGTGCATTTATAGTCCAAACAGGTAATCAAGGTTTACCACTAACCCCATCATAGAATACAGGTATCGTGTTCCCTATGGAAGGAGTAATTTTCCATTAGAGCTTCAAAAGTCATCGAATGAAACTGCTGTCTCTGTTTCATGCAGAAGTATTCATGTAGACAATCCTTGTAATATATATCCAAATTGGTCTACAGACCTCCCGGTAGACTATCTAAAGGTGCAGTCCACCTACACACTAACTCCATGGCAGTGGCGGGCCCCCATGCCATGGGGAAATAATTCTTTGTGGAGGAAGGATCTGTAAATAGCAGGTGCCAGAGAATCACCTACTGCATAGAGCAGTATCTTTGACGTACAAGTTGTCTCAGATTTATTCTAAACTGTTTTGAAACCTCTTCAGGCTGCTTTTGGGGATTATTAGGAAACAGAAATCCTGAAAATACAAAAGCAGGCTTATCAAGCACAGGAAAAACAGTAAGATGTTTTGTGACAAAGGCTTCAGTACGTGAATTATGCATTACCAAAAACTGACTTAGTTCGTATGGGAGGAGGGAGATTTCTGTGCGTCCAAATCCAAGCACAATGGGCACAAGCTGCACTGCAGGGAATTACATGCAGTCCTGTACAAACATTATCAATCTGAGTACCTCACTCTCCTTTTTGCCTGATTATTACCTTGCATTATTTGTAAGAATTTGAGGCAGAAACCAGCAAAATAACCTGAAAACTCCTTGAAATCAGTCATTACCAAATTCAGAAAGGGCTTCTGAAACCATAAGGAAGCAGGACTAGTCTGCCTTCAGCCTCTCCTCTCTCTATTTCTGTCCATATTCCCACCCTGTGCCCATCACCATAGCAGCTGACTGCTCTTCTGTCAAACAGCAATCTTTGGGGCAACAAAGGCAGGAATATAGGGTTGGGTTTTTTCCCCAAGGGGATCATGATTTGCTGGATAAAAGCGGCAGATGTTATACTTCAGAAATCGTACAGGACAACCATAATGAACAATGTAATTCCCCGTTGTTTTCTAAGGTATGTTAACAAAGGTATGTTAACAAAGCAGCCACCCACAAGACTCACTGTTGCTTGTGCATGTCTTTACATTAGAAAAAGATTTTTTTCATTCCCACTGCTGTCTTGCATATGCAGAAGTATCTCATTGGGATCTGGGAGAAAACTGGTGGGTGGGGGGGGGGGGGGGCAGGGTGAGGGGAAGATTTCTTCAGCTTAAAATATTTCTTCTGACTTAAAGCTTTTGGAATCTGAAGAGCGATAAGCATCATTTTTAGAAACCACCCTGGCAACGTAGCTGTTATATAAGTTTCAATAGAAGCTCTAATCCCAGCGCTGAACAGAAATGCCCCTGTCATGAAGCACTCAAAAACTACACCTACTGTTTATATTCTTATGCCATGCATTGTATCGCATCCACTTATGTCTCTACAAAGTGAGCTCTTAAAACCAGGCGCCTGTAACTTTTTTGCCCCTGTGCTTATCTTCAGCACTGGATTCATTTACGTTGCTACATAAATGATCATGCTAGTTTGTCAAAGGATGAAAGGTGACCTGGAAAAAATTGCTTTTACGTATCTTTTAAAAATAGCAATAAACACACATGAAAATGTTTATTTTTCTGTATTTTTTTCTGGTATAATACAAACTGCAATTCTGACTATTTTGAAAGACTCCACGATTACTGAAGAGGAAGTGAAATTAAAATCATCACACAGAAAAAAAAAGATAGCAATTAAGAGGGATAGGAAATTCAATCAGACCGCTCCAAGAGTGATTGTTTTTAATCCCAACTGATTTCCCACGCCTGACAAACAGACTGCAGAGGATCTTTCAGCTGAAGACAAATATTCTTTACTCCTCCCATCATGTATGACACTGCAAAACAACCAAAACCCAAGCCAGAAATATTTTCAGAGCAAACCAAACCACCTTTGAACCCTTCTTTGTTATGCTGAAGAAGCAAAGAATCAGAAATCGAATTTTTAAAGATATCTACTTCCTACATACTGGTGCTGCACAGCAACAAACACAATATATGCCAGATTTATTTACACTACATACTCCACAGCAGGAAACGTAACCAATGCAGAGAGCATATTCCATCCATTTACTGGAAACAGAAATTATTTACCTTTCAGTTTGCACATATTTATAAATAGGTTTTCCCTCAAACAACACGTTCTTCCTTTGGCATATGCAAGGTGCTCTCATGGGACCAGCACCTGGAATTTATAAAATGGTTTATTTAAATGCATGTTTGCATTTCCACTTCAGCTTCCCCTTATAAAAGGAGAAAAAGGTCACATGCTTACGGTACTTTTTTACCAGTTTGGTTCCGTTTCGGATCACCTCATTTTATTACAGAATGAAAGAGTGTTACAGGAACACAGCCGGTCGATACTTGCCACCGCTGCAGGGGAGGCCACGGCAGCAACTCCCCAGGGCTGCTGCCAGGGTTAGCGTCCCAGAGCCATGAGCCGTACAGACCCTCCAGGAACTGCCCATCTCCTCGACCGGCAGAAGAAACACAACCACCTGGCGGTTTAACATTCCCCTCCATTTCTGCATCTTCTTGGTTAGGCCAGGGTATGTCACCTAATTGAAGAGCTTGTTTCTTCTGGCTTTGAAGAGAGAGGGATGACAGGTTTACCTGAAGATTTTAGGGACTGATCAGTGGCCTCTAAGTTGTGCTACAGACTGGAAGAGCCAGGAAATGAGAGGGATCTTCACTGCATGCTGAACAAGGATGATTCTCCGTCAACTGGATCAACTGGCAAACATCTGGCAGTGCTGGAATTGATTATGTCTGCCCAACCACGGACAGCTTTGAGTATTTACTGATCCTTACTCCTGAACCCCTTTTACTACTCAGTTCATGTATTTGACTACTGTTGCAGGACAAAATACATCATCAGGATAAAAACAGACATGGTGCTTCAGTAATAAATACTGATGCTGGCATACACCATGAAAATTATAGAACTGATTAGAGGACCACGACATAATGCTCCACATATTAAACACAGCCAAGCAAGAGATGGGGAAAAGCAGCTGTTGGATTTTGAAAATAGTTTTGTTTTGCGGAGGAGTTTTTGCTTTAATCTACCACAGCTATTGAACAACTTGAGTCGCATTAGAAAAATATGTCCCTATCTACCAGAAAAACATAACATACATATATCCATTTTGCTGCAACTTACTTGTGATCTTACTAGTCTCCTCCCCATAACTGGCTCCATCTTTTGAAGCTATAAACGAGGTCAGTATCTTGTAATTTGAGCATTAAAATAAGGAAGGCTGAAGTTCTGTTTCTAGTCTGATTTTCTTTGGGACCTGAGAAACTCAGTTTGTGTAGATTCTGCAGCTATGTAGATATTTACCTTCCCAGTGATTTCCAATGGACACACTGTAAAGCAGCTGTAGCAGGGCAGAGTCCCTGTCATGGATCAAGACACACTGATCTAGGAGCTTCATATAAAACAGAATAAAAGGAGTTTCATTTCTAGTTTACTGCCTGAGGCAAGGTAGAGTGAAGAGACATGAAAAAAAAAGGAAGCATGAGGAATAATGAGACAATAAAACCCGATGTAAAAGCAGATTAATAGCATGATGGCCTGTCTACTCTTTGCATCATAGGAAGGTATAGCTTTAAAATAAAGGCTTAAATAAAAAGGTATTTTTGTGGCATTTACAGAGGGTTGGCAGGGGAGAAGCTCCTTTCTGTTGAAACTGTACTGAGCTGCAGCTGATTGCTATCAATTCACATGTGCACAAGTCAGGCAAACATCTCAGAAGAGAAATAAAGTGATGCACAGAGGTGCAGATCTGGAACTTGGCTGCACAGAGACAGTAGTCAAGTATACACTTCCAGAGGAAATCTGGAAGACAGAAGATGCCGAATGTGCACAGAGAGAATGTCATTGTGTATATTAAGAATATGATTAAGAAAGCTCACAAAACCCCCAGAATTATAGACATCCAGTCAGGATAGAATCTTGAGCTGGACAACATGATTGATGGTGTTGAATGTTTGACGAGTGAAAAAAGGTAAGGATGAAGAACTAGTGCTAATATTTGGCTAAGAAAAAGCAACTAGAAACTTCAAAGTTTCCAATGAATTCAAGAGGCAGACATTGGCCTGGAAGTGGTGTAGGACAGAATCACAAAGGAGAATCCCAAATTGCAAATGACTGGTCTAACTTCCGACTTCTAAAAATGTGGCCGTTACTAGACTAAGGAAAACTAAAACCAAAGGAACCTTAATGATTTAGTGCAGAAGAGAGTTAGCTCTTTATTCTGTCAGCATTCGAGTTCTCTTATTTGTAACAGACATGATTAAATTAATTCATCAATTAGTAAATGAGTTCAGTTAGTTCACAGCATGTAATTAGTTTATTCTACTCTGTTAACAGGCACATCCTAATGTCACTTTGTAATATTTTGCAAATTCAATTTTAATTTATTAGACACGATGAGAAAACGGGAACTTGAAGGCAGCAAACAAAATTGTAACAAAGACAGATGCAAAACTTACTGAGATAATGCACAACATAAATAGCAGTAAGCATCTGCTAGCAAGGTCCGTTCCCTGCTCAGCAGTGCTGACCATTCTACATTAACTGCTTTGTGGTTAAAAAAGGTCTGAGATGACACGTGCAGGAACACGGCAGCTGCCAGCCCGTGATAGTGTCCCTACAGCCATTTCCCTGCAGTTGGACTGGGTTTTCATTTTGTACTCCCCTTTCGGTCCCTTGCAAATAGTTTCATCAAGAAATTCCTTTTTCACAGAACTGCTTTAGATTTCTTTGTGGTTTTAATACT